CAGAATTCCCCAGCCAGCATTCGCTGGCTGGGGAATTCTGGGAGTTGAAGTCCAGACATCTTCAAGTTGCCAAGGTTGAGAAACACTGTGCTAGATCAAGCAGCAATGTTCACCTCCACTTATGGAGATCCCATGACCCCGTTTTTCCCTGTAGGATTTCGACATGTAATCCCGAGGGGGGGTCAAAGGAGCCTCACGTTAAGGGCTTAATTCCACAACCTGCTGAGAAAGAGAGACGGGGGACCCTCACCAGTGTCCGGGACAGTTCATCGGCTTCAGGGCAAAGATTTCTTTTTCCGCCTCGAAAGAGAACATGTTCTCGCTGTAATGCTGCCAGTGGCCAGAGGTTTCCCAAAGTTTACTGTTGTAGATATTGGGGGAAACGACTTCCATGAAGTTCCGCCGCTGATACTCTTCCTGTACAAGATAAGGCGGTGTCAGGCCCCCGAAACACAAGTGCGATACTGCTGAGTGGTTTATGTATTGATCCTACGGACAGAATCTTGCCAGATTAAAGCAACTATGCAGAATGAATTAGATACACTCTGTGAGCTGCTAGGGAGGGACAGTCTTAGCTGTCTTCCTGCCCATCAGACTTTCCAAGCTGGGTTGCCTCTTTGCCCTCTGGAAAGCAGACTCTCCCTTCCTCCTGGGACTCCAGACTCCATCCCAGCACAGGTGGTCAACAGGTGGTGATGGGACAAAATATACCCTTTACACATGCTGACCGCCTTTGATCTGAGGCCCTTAAAAATTCACGTGATTTATGCTAGATTTGGCAAATCAGACCAAAAAGTGTTGTGGCCTCCCAGTGGCCAGCAGAGCTGGCAGCAGACTCAGAGAGTGAGAGGGTTGGGGAGGGGCATGGGCCAGTTCTGGAGTCTGGGGAAGGCTCGGACGAGGGCTCTGGAGGCAGAGAGGGGGCCAGAGAGGGGGCCAGAGCCGTCTGACAGTTATCAGCTGCCTTCAGAGTCAGACATCAGTGGGGCAGAAGAACAGCTGCAGCCTGTTCCCAGTGTGCACATGCACAGAGCGGCCAGAAAAAGGGAACAGCTAAAGAACTGGGGTTGACTTGGGAGGAAGGCCATAGGTGGACGATGAATGGCCCCTCCCAGAGGGAATAAA